GCAGGAATATTGCATTCAAAGCACCCCTGACAGATGGCCATCCAGCCTCTGTTTAAAAGCTTCCAAAGAAGGAGCCTCCACCACACTCCATGGCAGAGAGTTCCAGTGCTGAACAGGAATCATAGAATCCAAAGAGTTGGAAGAGACCTCCTGGGTCATCCAGTCCAACCCCATTCTGCCAAGAAGCAGAAATATTGCATTCAAAGCACCCCTGACAGATGGCCATCCAGCCTCTGTTTAAAAGCTTCCAAAGAAGGAGCCTCCACCACACTCCGGGGCAGAGAGTTCCTTTGTCCCACCCTGGTCATTCCACAGATATATAAACCCATTTTCCTAGTTCCAACAGACCGCACTACCTCTGAGGATGCTTGCCATAGATGCAGGTGAAACGTCAGGAGAGAATGCCTCTAGACCATGGCCATATAGCCCGAAAATACCTACAACAACCCAGTGATTCCAGCCATGAAAGCCTTCGACAATACAAAAATTGCTTAGTTTGGATATATTTTGTCTGTTGTGAAAGTGCAAATACTGGCCCCACGTGTATGTGTTACTTAAAGTAAAAATAAAATAAAATGTTAAAGTAGTGTATAGTATTTTATGGTTTAAAGCAGTGGTTTCCAACCTTTTTTTGGGTTACGAATCAGTTTTTGGACCAGGGACCACTCTCCAACATTAGTACCAAAAGGGTTATGAATCAGTTTTTGGTCAACTTTCGATTCGGTTTGGTTATTTGGGGTGCTGGTTCAGAAAGTTGCATTGGAGAGTGCACATCAGCTCTGCTTTCTGATACAGAACACATGCCACCCACTAGTCGGCATCTGCTCACCCACAGAAAATCATATTTAATAATCTAGAGCTTATTTATTTATCGTGTCAGGGCGGCCAGTCAATTATATTACATTTCTAACAGAAAAAAGCAAACAAACAGACAAAATACAAAATTTCTGAGTTTGGTAGTTGATTAAATGTCCTTTGACCAGTATCTGGCCCCTTGGAGTGCTTCTGGTGTTGCTGCAAGGTCCTCCATTGTGCATGTGATTGGGCTCAGGGTGCATTGCAGCAGGTGGTCAGTGGTTGGCTCCTCTCCACACTCACATGTCGTGGATTCCACTTTGTAGCCCCATTTCTTGAGGTTGGCTCTGCATCTCGTGGTGCCAGAGAACAGTCTGTTCAGCGCCTTCCAAGTTGCCCAGTCTTCTGTGTGCCCAGGGGGGAGTCTCCCATTTGGTATCAGCCATGGATTGAGGTTCTGGGTTTGAGCCTGCCACTTTTGGACTCTCGCTTGCTGAGGTGTTCCAGTGAGTGTCTCTGTAGATCTTAGAAAACTATTTCTAGATTTAAGTCGTTGACGTGCTGGCTGATACCCAAACAAGGGATGAGCTGGAGATGTCTCTGCCTTGGTCCTTTCACTATTGGCTGCTACTTCCTGGCGGATGTCAGGTGGTGCGATACCGGCTAAGCAGTGTAATTTCTCCAGTGGTGTAGGGCACAGACACCCCGTGATAATGCGGCATGTCTCATTAAGAGCCACATCCACTGTTTTAGCATGGTGAGATGTATTCCACACTGGGCATCCGTACTCAGCAGCAGAGTAGCAAAGCACAAGGGCAGATGTCTTCACTGTATCTGGTTGTGATCCCCAGGTTGTGCCAGTCAGCTTTCGTATGATATTGTTTCTAGCACCCATTTTTTGCTTGATATTTAGGCAGTGCTTCTTGTAGGTCAGAGCACGGTCCAGAGTGACTCCCAGGTATTTGGGTGCGCTGCAATGCTCCAGTGGGATTCCTTCCCAGGTGATCCTCAGAACTCGGGATGCTTCTCTGTTCTTGCGATGAAAGGCACATGTCTGTGTTTTAGATGGGTTGGGAATCAGCTGGTGTGGTAGAGCTGATGTGGTAGTAGTAATAATAATAATAAAACTTTATTTGTACCCCGCTACCATCTCCCCAAGGGACTCGGTGCGGCCTACATGAGGCCAAGCCCACAGCACATCAATAAACAAAAGCAATAACAATAGTCAATACAAAACAGTTAAAATAAACTCAAAAACAGAAAATACACAATGAGCAATAAGCAATAACAATATCAATAACATACAGCATTTTAAACCTAAATGTAATAATTAAAATTAAAATTTAAAATGCTGGGCATGAACAAGGTAGGGTAAACTAGGATAGGGTTTTCAGAGAAAGATGAGGGCGCGCAGACAATCTTAAATCAATATTAAAGTGCATTCGAGGACATATTGCTAAGAGTTTTCCTTATTCTGGCAAGGCACACTGGAACAACCACGTTTTCAGGCTCCTCCTAAAGACTGCCAGCGTTGGGGCATATCTGATGTCCTTAGGGAGTGAATTCCAGAGTCGAGGGGCCACCACCGAGAAGGTCCTCTCCCTTGTCCCCACCAATCGTGCCTACGAAGGAGGTGGGAGAGTGAGAAGGCCTCTACAGATGTCTGAAGAGATTGTGTGGGTTCGTACACAAAAATGCGGTCACGTTTCCTGGTTAGTCTCTGTTTCATGGTTAGCCTCTCCCCTCGGCACTGTAAGAGGGTTTTGCAAGACCAGTCGCTCTTGTTGCCATGTGATTTTGAGGCAACTGTGTAGTAATTGTGAGGCTGTGGTCCATATTCTCGTTCTTGCAGACCACAGGTTGGCAACCACTCCTTTAGGTGTGTGCCAAGGAACTCCTGAAGTTGCACTTGTTTGCTTTCCTTAACCCAGGTCCCCTAAAGATCCCAATCCCAACAATCAAAATGGCCCCCAAAATAGCAGCAGAAAGGCATTTGGCATCACATGGGACACCAACAACATATGTTAATGTGATGTGCCAGGCAGATATGGGTTCTTAGGTGTAGTATTTAATGAGTGGTGGATCAAGAAACGGATATTAGTCATGGCGTTCTGTGTTTTATACAAACATTGCTTTTGCCCCAGTTCCTTTGCCATGCCAGATTTCTAAATGAGAGTTTGGAAAAGTCTTCTTTTTCACGCTTGGGATACACCTCCCATCTGGCAAGGCTATGCAGAGGGATTCTGGGTACTGTAGTCCCCCCAAAGGTGTTTCCAAGAAATGGGAGGAAATATTCATGACCTGAGAAGCTTTACAAGAGGAAACAGGCACGGTTGCTTGTAAGCGTTTTGACTTGAGCAATCCCAGGTGCAATTCTTGGAGGCAGGTCATCCTCAGAGCTCGAGATGCCAAGGTTTCCCCTGACATAGGTTTTTAAATCTTTGTGTGTTATTGTTTATATTGATTGTATTATTTGCTTATTGCTTTGTTGTTTTTACTGATGTGTTGTTGGGCTTGGCCTCATGTAGGCCGCCCCGAGTCCCCTGGGGAAATGGTGGCGGAGTATAAATAAAGTATTATTATTATTATATTATGCTTGTCTGTTCTTAAGGTGAAAAGTGTTTTAGATGGATGAGGAATCAGCTGGTTTTCCCTGTCATAGGCAGTAAGAGCGCCTAAAGCTTTGGAGAGCTTCAGCTCAACCATTTCAAAGCTCCCTGCTTGAGGGGTGATGACACAATCATCAGCATAGATTAAACTCTCTGTCCTTTCTGGCAGTGGTATTTGTGTCAATGTTAAACATGGATGGAGCAAGTACTCTCTTGAGGCAGGCCCTTCTTCTGTTTTCGCCATCCTCTACTCTGTTTACTACTATCCAACAAAGGGAAAAGTAAAGTTTCCTACTTCCAACAGACCTCACTACCTCTGAGAATGCTTGCCATAGATGCAGGCGAAACGTCAGGAGAAAATGCCACTAGAACATGGCCATATAACCCGGAAAAACCTACAACAATCCAGGAAAAGTAAAGGTTTCCCCGACATAGTTGTATCCAATTCTGGGACTCTGGTGCTCATCTCCATTTCTAAACCAAAGAGCTGGTATTGCCCGTAGATGCCTCCAAGGTCATGTGGCCAGCATGACTGCATGGAGCGCTGTTACCTTCCTCCTGGAGTGGTACCTATTGATCTACTCACATTCGCATGTTTTCGAACTACTAGGTTGGCAGAAGCTGGGGCTAACAGCTCCCCCTGTTCTCCGGATTCGAACCGCCGATCATTTGGTCAGCAAGTTCAGCAGCTCAGCAGTTTCACTTGCTGCACTGGAGCACTGCAGTGCACCCAAATACCTGGGTGTTACCCTGGACCGTGCTCTGACCTACAAGAAGCACTGTCTGAACATCAAGCAAAAAGTGGGTGCTAGAAACACTATCATACGAAAGCTGACTGGTACAACCTGGGGATCACAACCAGACACAGTGAAGACATCTGCCCTTGCGCTGTGCTACTCTGCTGCTGAGTATGCATGCCCAATGTGGAACACATCTCACCACGCTAAAACAGTGGATGTGGCTCTTAATGAGACATGCCGCACCATCACGGGGTGTCTGCACCCTACACCACTGGAGAAATTACACTGCTTAGCCAGTATTGCACCACCTGACATCCGCCGGGGAGTAACAGCCAATAGTGAAAGGACCAAGGCAGTGACATCTCCAGCTCATCCCATTTGGGTATCAGCCAGCACGTCAACGACTTCAATCCAGACATAGTTTTCTAAGATCTACAGAGACACTCGCTGGAACACCCCAGCAAGCGAGAGTCCAAAAGTGGCAGGCTCAAACCTGGCTGATACCAAATGAGAGACTCCCTCCTGGGCACAGAGAAAGACTGGGCGACTTGGAAGGCGCTGAACAGACTGCGCTCTGGCACCACGAGATGCAGAGCCAACCACTGACCACCTGCTGCAATGCACCCTGAGCCCTGCCACATGCACAAGGGAGGACCTTCTTGCGGCAACACCAGAGGCACTCCAAGGGGCCAGATACTGCTCAAAGGACATTTAATCCACTACCAAGCTTGCAAACTTTGCATTTTGTCTGTCTGTTTGTTTGTTTGTTTTGTTAAAAATGTAATACAAATGTCTGGTTGCTCCTGACACGATAAATAAAATACCCGCTGCGCCAAACAAATACATTTAGACAGTGTTATGGATTTCACAGTAGGTTTTTTAAAAAAATCAAAACATACACATATAAAAAAAGCACAGTAAAAATTGAATGTATTAATCACCTGATCAGAAATTCAAACAGATATAAAAAAAATTGAATGTATTAATCACCTGATCAGAAATTTAAACAGATATAAAATTTCCCAGTGTGAGCTTTGGTAAGAAGGCAGCAGAGACCCCATACTTGGGCTTTAGGTTTCCCAAACAGGACAGAGAGGGAAAAAATTGAGGGAAATCATCCACATGAGAAGCCAACGAGTGTAGAAGAGGGTCTGGCTTCTCGGGGGTGTCGGACCCAAGCCGTTTAGCACCTTGAAGCCTTTTCAGAATCCGTTTCAGAGGACGTCCTCATCTAAATTCCAGCACGACCTAAGGAGTTGAGCTTCCCACAGATCAACCAACGTGAACCCGGCAAGACTCTGGCAATTCCTGGGCCTGGTGGGCGCTGGAGCCGCCTCTCCCCGCAGACGGCCATAAGTCTGACCCACCCAGGTGCGGAGAAGAGGAGAAGGATCCCGGTGGAGTGTGGAAATGGTTCTGGGCAACTGGCGCTCCAAAGGCACTCGAATTTGGAAACTGGGAAGGACCCGGTGGGATCGGGAGCCCTGAAGTCAAGGGGTGTGCGTTGGGGTGCTGCGGAGGGGGGGCAAAGAAGGCAGGAGGAGGGGGGGGCTGGTAGCTCTGCGTCGGGTAAGAGCCAGGCACTGGGTTTATCCTGGAGAGAAGAGAGTAGGCAAGAAGTGAGTTGCTCATGTGTCCCTTTAAGTCATTTCCATCTTGGGTTGCTGTGAGTTTTTTGGGCTGTATGATCATGTTCCAGAAGCATTCTCTCCTGATGTTTCTCCCACATCTATGCTCTTTTTTTATCTCATTATAGTCTGTTAATTGTTTTTATTTGGAATATATGGCCCGCGCATTGTCATTTCTATCAGCACTTTTAATCTTGCACCCATTGCTCTGGCCCGGCCCAGTTTTATTGTGTTTACTGTATTGTGCCTGTTGTTTATTTTGCTTTATTCTGTTTTTAATTGTTTGATTTGCTTAGATTGTATTGTTGTGTTGTGTGTTGAGGCCTCGGCCTGTGTAAGCCGCATTGAATCCTTCGGGAGATGCTAGCGGGGTACAAATAAAGTTTAATAATAATAATAATAATAATAATAATAATAATAATATTGGTATTTTATTTTATTTTTATTATCATTTTTTATTTATTATATATTTTTATTTTAATACATACACAACATTTATAGTTCCCACCACCATGAGGATTGTTTTCTTTTACATATTAATCCTTTTTGAGATGAACCTTATAGATTAACGTTCTATATAACATTTGTATCCTATTTCTTTCTCTTTTTTTTCCTTAAATATTTTTAATTAATTATTTGACACAATCTCATATATAATCAGAAAATATATGTTCAGAAATACTGGAACATGTCTAGATTTGTATGTAGACAGCAACTTGTACAAAGTAAGTATAACATATACCATTCACTCGAGTTTAAGGCACTTTCAAAGGAAAATCCATGCAAACCATTCCTAACTAGAACTGTTTCTATCTAGCTAACAGCAATAGTGTCATCAGCTACTCCCACCCCCATATCATAAGCAAAAAATAAAACAAAATAAATGCCAATGTATTTTTTTTGGGAATTCTTTACAAGGCAAGAAATATATCTTCATGATCAAGATGGTTTCAGAGTATGTCCAAATACATCTTGATATTACATCAATTAAAAAAAAAAACAAGAATGGGAGCAGGCAACAAAGTACTCTCTTAAGACTAGAGCTTTCTGACTATTTTACATACACAGGCATGGACAACTGCAAAAACTCAATTTGCGTAAATTGAAAGATGTCCAAAATCATAATCAAATGTTTCATTAGCACGATGCCAATATATATAACTTTTCCAGGAATCACTTTTTTCTATTTTATAGCATTCCAGCTTGTCCACATAGTATTACATATTTCTTTTTATTTCTTTTTTTAAAATTCTTTCCCTTCTCTTTTCTTTCCCCTCCCCCCTTTTCTCCCTTCCTAGATCCGTCATTAGATCCATCATTTATTATTTTAATGTCATTTTGATAATGTTGTTGTTGTCTAACGGATATGCTTTGATTTTATTGCTGCATTGTTTTGTCCGGGCTTGGCCCCATGTAAGCCGCACCGAGTCTCCATTGGGGAGATGGTGGCGGGGCAGAAATAAAGTTTATTATTATTATTATTATTATTATTATTAGTATCCTCAGAAGTTGGGAGGTCTGTTGGAAACTAAGCGAGGGAGGTTCATATATTTGTGGAAGGTCCAGGGTGGGAAAAAGAACTCTTGTCTGTTTGAGGCAAGTGTCAATACTGCAATTAATCACCTTGATTAGCATTGAAAAGCTTTGCAGCTTCAAGGCCGGGCTGAGGGAACCCTTTGTTGGGAGGTGTTAGCTGGCCCTGACTGTTTAATGTTTGGAATTCCCCTGTTTTCTTTATTTACTGTCTCGATTTTGGAGTATTTTAATATTGGTAGCCAGATTTTGTTCATTCTCATTGTTTCCTCCTTTCTGTCGAAATTATGCTTGTTGATTTCAATGGCTTCTCTAGCCTGACATGTGCTTGTGAGAGCTGTGAGAGTGGTCCAGCATTTCTGTGTCCTCAAATAATATTCTGTGTCCAGATTGGTTCCTCAGGTGCTCTGCTACGGCTGACTTCTCTGGTTGGATTTGTCTGCAGTGCCTTTCCTGGTCCTTTATTTGTTTGGGGTTCCCTATGTAGACTTGTCCACAGCTGCATGGTATACGGTAGGCCAATCAAGGTAACCAATCGCAGCATTCACACTTGCCTCAAGCAGACAAGAGTTCTTTCCCCCACCCGGGACATTCAGATATGTAAACCCCACTTCCCTAGTTTCCAACAGACCTCACAACCTCTAAGGATGCCTGCCATAGATGTGGGTGAAACGTCAGGAGAGAATGCTTCTGGAACATGGACAGACAGCCCGGAAAACTCACAGCAACCCAGTGATTCTGGCCATGAAAGCCTTCGACAACACATTTCTATCTTATGGTGACCCTATCACAGGGTTTTGTTGGCAAGATTTAGGTAGAAGAGGGACACAAATTCATATACATACATAAACATTAAAAACATTTATCTCAATATTAAAATACACAATTTAAAACCATCCTAGCCATCTGCGTCAAATCTAATTGGCCTGGTAATCTTTCCTATTGCCGCTTTATTGGCCTGTCACGAAAACTTGGTCCCACAGCCAAGTTTTGACCATCCTTCTAAAGGACAGGAGGGAGGGGGCCAACCTGATCTCACCAGGAAGGGAGTAAAACTTGTGCGCCAGCTGCGTCCGTACCTTGGGAAGTCTGACTTGGCCATGGTGGTCCACGCTCTGGTTACATCCCGTTTAGACTACTGCAACGCTCTCTACGTGGGGTTGCCTCTGAAGACTGCCTGGAAGCTCCAACTAGTCCAACGAGCGGCAGCCAGACTACTAACAAGAGCGGGGTACAGGGAGCATACTACTCCTTTGTTGCACCAGCTCCACTGGCTGCCAATTAGCTTCTGAGCACAATTCAAAGTCCTGGTGTTAACCTATAAATCCCTAAACGACTCCGGCCCAGTTTACCTGTCCGAACGGATTCTCCCCTATGAACCATCAAGATTGTTAAGATCTTCAGGAGGGGCCCTGCTCTTGGTCCCACCATCTTCGCAAGCGCGTCTGGTGGGAACGAAGGACAGGGCCTTCTCGGTGGTGGCCCCTCAGCTCTGGAACTCTCTCCCACTGGAGATTAGAACTGCCCCTTCTCTCCTGACTTTTAGAAAGCTGGTGAAAACCTGGCTCTGGAAACTGGCATTTGACGAGTGAGTCAATAACTCGCGACAACATGGACGGATGGCGATGAACTACGATTTTACTTTGACGACTTGGCCAATGTAATTATATGACTGTATTTTAATGTTTTAGTGTATTATGGGATGTGATGTTTTTAAATGATTGTCTGTGTTATTGTTGTTGTGAACCGGCCTGAGTCCCTCTGCGGAGGTGAGAAGACCGGTATATAAAAGCTCTAAATAAATAAATAGTTCCACAGCTGGGGAGCAATCACCGAGAAGGCCCTGTCTCTCATCCCCACCAGTCACGCCTGTGACAATGGCGGGACGGAAAGCAGGGCCTCCCCAGAGGATCTTAATCTCTGCGATGGTTCATAGGGGGAGATGCATTCGGTTAGGTAAACTGGGCCAGGGCCATTTAGGGCTTTATAGGCCAAAGCCAGCCCTTTGAATGGTAGTTCCACTAACTAGCAGTTAGTGGAGCTGGCGCAACATGGGAGTTGTATGCTCCCTGTATGCCGCCCCAGTTATTAACCTGGCTGCCTCTCATTGGACTATTTGAAGCTTCCGAGCAGTCTTCAAAGGCAACCCCATGTAGAGTGCGTTGCAGTAGTCTATCCTAGATGTAACGAGAGCATGACCACCGTGGCCAAGTAGGTAGAAGAGGGTTGCCTTTGCCTCCCTCTGAGGCTGAGAGTGACCTGGCCAACTGCACTCTGAGCAGAAACGCGATCCTAGAGTTGGAAGAGACCCCCAGGTCCATCCAGTCTTACCCCTTTATGCCAGGCGGGATCACATAAGGCACTCCCAACAGATGACCATCCACACTTGTCTTTAAAATTTTGTCCTAATCAAACATTTACAACCACTGCACAAAACCGACTCTAAAGATTTCATCAGGTTGAGAGAGTGTGACTTGCTCAGCCAACGCAGTCACAGTGTGTCAGAAATTCAAACCCTGAAGGCTGACCACAGACTCTGATTGACTACTTCTCTAGGAATCTCTAGATCCTCCAGGACAACGCTAGGGTCAACGTCCAGTGGAGGCTGACTGCAGAGTCATGATGGTGGAGCTAGAGATTCCTAGAAAAGTACTCTCTCTTGTTAAAAAAAATGTATTTTTATTTGCCACAGTTTTCCCCACTTTCCTAGAGGCTCTGCACCCCAAACCCAGCATCCCCAGCCAGCAGAGGCAATGGTTAAGAAAAATAGGAGGGGGAGTCCAACAGACAGAGAAATACTATACACACACACAATTCTATTTAAGCACGGATTGCATACTTACTTCCGGGTCTGGGAGGCTCTTCTTTCCGCTAGAGACCCTGGAACGTACTGGAGGACTGGGATTCTCTTCAGCAGTCGGAAAGGGATCTTCTGATCCAGGCGAGAGGCAGTTGATTCGGGGAGATCCACTTGGGAGCAGAAGCCATAACCGTCTTGACGTTGGCAGCAGGATAAGGAAAAGAACGGTGACTGGAAAGGAAGACATTCCCATGCCTGACCCCATGATGCTAAGAAACTGCTGAAGAATATTCAGCACCTTCAATGGACCCAGAAACAGAGCTACTGCACTACAACTGGCACGTTTAGTATGAGTTTTGTTGGTCTCCAGCTTTACTGAGTTGCATTCAAATACTGACACAGACCATTTACCAGATAGGATTGACACATTCAGGGGTAGACCCTGAGGTCCAAATTCCACTTTTCCCCAGGCATCTACGCAATGATATTCTTCCTAAATCTCCCAGTGTTGTCCTTAGCTGCTAATCTACTTATACAATTTTCATAGCTATACAGGATGATGTGTTACACACAGTCTGACACGTATCGTTCTTTGGGAGTCCTGTGAACATAGACCCAGTCTTGGCATGAGACCAGTTCGCCCTACCGCTTTGTGGGAATCCATGGTAAAGGATACAGAGGTTCCCAATCAAGATGCCGCAAAGGTTTGCCAGGAAGGGAGAGATCAGAGCAAACCAGGCCACGCCGAGCAGGAGCCAGGGGACGAGGCACACGCGGATGTTGAACCCCAAAAGTAGCATGTTTCTCAATGGGGAGCGGGCGATGGAGGCTGTTAGCATGGCGAAAGCCACAGGTGCAAACCCCGTGGCATCTGCCGCCTCCAAAAAATTGGTCAAGGCGGGTGAGAGCAAGAGGTAGAGCAGGGCTGCGGCAATGGCAAAGGCCATGGTGAGGAGGATGTGTTTTGCTGTGCCTACCGACTTCTCGAAGCTACCGGCAAAGTACCAGACGACGATTGCGCCACATAGCCAGGAAAGGGGGTCATCATAGACAAATATATAGGTCACCAGCCGGTAAACTGTGGAAGGAAAGGGAGAAGACGGTTCAGGTCTAGGCTATTTGCTCGACCAGCGACCGCACCATCTGTACAAACTGCCTTGAGTCGCCTCTGGGCTGAGAAAGGCGGTATACGAGACGGGGACGAGAGAAAGGGCCTTCTCGGTGGTGGCCCCCCGGCTGTGGAACGACCTCCCTGCTGACATCAGACAGGCGCCCTCCCTTCTGTCCTTCCGTAAGAGCCTGAAGACCTGGCTATTTGAGAAGGCATTCAACTGAGCGCTACGGCAACTGGTAATTGACAACTGGAACGGAATACGGATTACGATATTGGTTATGATTCTATGATGTGACGGAGCGGATTATTTAGTGTAACTAGATTATAGTGTATTATTGTTGTATTGATTTCCTGTTTTGCCCTTTTGTAAACTGTTTTTATATGTTGTGCACCGCCGCGAGTCGCCCTAGGGCTGAGAGCGGCGGTCAATAAATGCAGTAAATAAATAAATAAATAAATAATACAAATGCGATAAACAAATGAATAAATAAATAAACCTACCTGGGCCCCGACTGGCCAAAACGAACACAATGAATGGGTTGTTGTAGGTTTTTTCGGGCTAAATGGCCGTTCTAAAGACATTTTCTCCTGACGTTTCGCCTGCATCTATGGTAAGCATCCTCAGAGGTAGTGAGGTCTGTTGGAACTAGGAAAAAGAGTTTATATATCTGTGGAATGACCAGGGTGGGACAAAGGACTCTTGTCTGCTGGAGCTAGGCGTGAATGTTTCAACTGATGGCCATATAGCCCGAAAAAACCTACAACAACCCATTATTATTATTACCAAACTGGAATGACCTAAGGCCCCAAAGCAACCCCTAGCTAGTAAAGAATGAAGGTGGAAGAATAAAGAAGCAAGAAGATATACGTGAGAATAAAGAAGAACAACGAATGTAGGCCCTAAACAAGCTGGAGGGGTGCAAGGCGAAGGAGGCCAGCGTCAAGGCGCCTCCTGAGGGCCAGGCCTCACCTTGTAGGCCGCTCAGGGCCTCTGGCGCCAGAGAAAGCGGCGAGGACTCGGCCTCTCCTCCTTCTCTTCCTCCTCCTCCTCCTCGAGGCCTCCACCGCAGCAGCCTCGGGAGGGAGGCCAGCAGCGACAGGAGCACCGTGAGGGCCGCCGCCGCAGGGAACCGGCGCTCCATCCTTCCTATTTTCCCTCCTCAGGCGCTCTTTAGGGACACTTCCGGTGCTTTTGGGCCTTGCTTCCGGTTGAGGCGCCGTCGCCAAGGAAACGGGCCTAGGCAAGGCCACGCCCCTTCGGAGAACGAATATCAAGTGGCGCTGATAGGTTGGAAGCGAGGGCTCCGCTTTTTCCTATTGGTTGCTAAGGGAGCTTTTCCTATTGGCTGCCCTTTTCCAATCGCCAAAGTTTTTTTTTAAAGAGATATGCACCTCAAAGAGATGAATCTGTATAATCATCATGGGTTAGGAATTACTTTGAGAAGGAACAAGATAGATATATATGTTCACAAAAATAATAATATAATAAATATAAACAATAAAGATAAATATAACAATATATATATATATATATATACACACACACACACAATATAATAATTATAAAAATATAAATAAATTCAACAAAAATACATATAATATATATAATAAAATAATAATAAATAAATAATAAAGATAAATATAACAATATATGTATATATTTACAATATAATAATTATAAACATATAAATAAATTCAACAAAAATACATTTATTATTTATTTACTTTATTATTTTACATATAATATGTATAAAATAATAAAGTAATAAATAAATAATAAAGATCAATATAACAGTATATAGATTTACAATATAATTATAAACATATAAATAAATACAATAAAAATACATATAATAATATATATAATAAAATAAATATTTATTATTTAATAAATATTTAAATATTTATAATTTATTTAATAAATAAATATTACTTAGTAAGGGTTAGGAATTACTTTGAACAGAGAGAAGGAACAAGATATATATATATATATATATATATATATATATACACACACGTTCATATAATAAAAATATATAATACTAAAAATAATAATAAAATAAATATAAATAATAAAGAAAAATATAACAATATATATATTTGCAATATAATAATTATTAAAATATAAATAGATACAACAAAAATACTTATAATAATATATATAATAAAATAATAAATATAATAATATATATTTGTAATAAATATAATAATATATATATAAATATTATAATAAAAATACACGTAATAATAATACTTATGGTACTTACTTAGGCGATTCCTTGTTGTCCGAGTAGGATAATCTTCCAGGGTGGGTCCGCAGGTGCCTATGGAGCCCGATTCTTCATCTGCATGTTCTCCTGCAGTGAGGGCATTGGTTTCCAGATTGGCTTGACGCACCTTCCTCTTGGCATGTTTCTTTCGCCCTCCATTTGTGCCTCTTCAAATTCTGCAGCACTGCTGGTCACAGCTGACCTCCATCTGGAGCACTCACAGGCCAGGGCTTCCCAGTTCTCAGAGTTTTTAAGGTTGGCTTTGAGCCTGTCTTTAAATCTCTTTTCCTGCCCACTAACATTTCATTTTCCATTCTAATAATAATAATAATAAAATAATAATAATAATAATAATAATAATAATAATAATGGGGGGCATCAGTGGCGCTGTGGGTTAAACCACTGAGCTGCTGAAATTGCTGACCAAAACGTTGGTGGTTCAAATCCAGGGAGTGGAGTGAGCTCCCGCTATTTGCCACAGCTTCTGCCAACCTAGCAGTTCAAAAACATGCAAATGTGAGTAGATCAATAGGGACTACTTCTGCGGAAGGTAACAGCGCTCCATGCAGTCATGCCAGTGGCCACATGACCTTGGGTGTGTCTAGGAACACCACCAGGCTTTGAAGCTTAAAAGCTAATTGCAGCATTCACGCTTGCCTCCAGCAGACAAGAGTTCTTTCTCCCACCCTGGACATTCCACAGCCTGCACAACCTCTGAGAATGCAGGCGAAACATCAGGAAAGAAAGCTTCTAGAACATGGCCATACAGCCCGCAAAAAACCTACAACCCACTACATAAATCTCCCTTGCCTAGTTTCCAACCAACCTCACAACCTCTGAGGATGCCTGCCATAGATATGGGTGAAACATCAGGAGAGAATGCTTCTGAAACATGGACCGCCCAGAAAACTCACAGCAACCCAGTGATTCCAGCCTTCGACAACACAATAATAATAATAATAATAATAATAATAATAATAATAATAATCTCTTGGTGGGTGGATCTCAGTGTCTTATGCTCATCTTGCATCCTTTTTAGTTGAGAGATAAATAATGAAAACTTTAAGAATTTTGGCCCACAGTCCCCGTGGGCAGGCACCCTTTCATCTTCAGGATGTTTGTCCTTGTCTCACCCCCAATCCCACCCTCCCGCCACAAACACAGTCTCTCAGACACTCTGTAGTTGAAATACTTTAATTTTAAAAATATTCTCTTCAGTGCTAAAATATCTCTTTTGCGTCCCGGGGGGGCGGCCAGGCGGAAGAAGAAGGCGGCAGAGGCAACGGCGGCCGGCTCCCAGGTCAGTCGGGCAACGGATCCGCTCCAGGTTGTCACACTGGCTTTAAAGGAGCTCTCGGAGGTCCCAAGTTCGATCCCGACAGAGGACCGACACTTCCAAGACGGGGAACCCCATCTCGAAGCACCTTGGAGAGTGCCATCAAAGCCCGTTGAATCCTGGAATGGATTCGCTGCCCCACTGGATCGGATCGGGCCACGCTGGCATTTTCCGCTCTCCGAAATATTGCCGGCCTTCCCAGCTCCTTTGCCAAGAGAGACGGCAACGGAGTCCCGGCTCCTCCCAGAGCGAATGGCTTCACCCCACAAACTATTGCACTGCATCCCAGCCAGACGCCCGTTGGGTCCCCGCGCTCCCCCCAATAAGGAAGGACTGGAGAGGGGGGATCGGGACCCTCTGTGGCGCCCAGTTAAGTGCTATCGTACCTCGTCTTCCCTCGAAGGACCCCCCACCAGACAGACACCCCAGGAAGAAGAGGAGGGAGAAAGAGCAAGACAAGAGGGGCCCTGGGAATGGCCCCATTCCTCCAGCGTGCAAGGGGCAAAAGGGGGGATTATTGCACAGGCCACGGTGGAGGGAAGGAAGACAGGAAGGAAGAAAGGAAGGAAGGAAGAGCGGATTTCGGAGGTCCCACGGAAGGAGAGACCAAAAAGGGCTGGCGTTTGAGGGCCCTGTCACGCAGCCAGCTAGCTCTCAGGGGCCGGTTGGGATGCGGCATTCTGCTCGGGGCAAAACTTCTTGAGTGGTGGCGCCCCAGAGTCCTCCTCCGGTTTGGGTTCCTAAGGAGAAAAGGGAACACGTGAAGGACCACCGTCAAGTGAATTAGGACCACTTTTTAAGAATGTGTTTGAAGGAAGTGGTTAGTATTATTATTCTGACACAAAAACACAGTATGTCGCAGCAAACGAGATCTATATGCTGGGTTTCGTATCACAAAATCACAAGTCAAACACTTCCCAAGTGTTTAGGACCGTATGATGTATTTTCAAATGATCCGAGCAAGGTGGCCTTTTGCAGTTGACAGATCATGATTTTGTCAATGTTTATGGTTTCCAAATGTTGGCTGAGGTCTTTTGCCATGACCACTGGGACCACCTGGACTAGTTTATGCCAGAGCATTATTATTATTAGTGACAGGACCAAGGCAGAGACATCTCCAGCACATCCCTTGTTTGGGTCTCAGCCAGCACGTCAACGACTTAAATCAAGAAATAGTTTTCTAAGTTCTACAGAGACACTCGCTGGAACACCTCAGCAAGCAAGAGTCCAAAAGTGGCAGGCTCAAACCCAGAGCCTCAACCAATGGCTGATACCAAATGCGAGACTCCCCCCTGGGCACACAGAGGACTGGGCGACTCGGAAGGCGCTGAACAGACTGCGCTCTGGCACCACGAGATGCAGAGCCAACCTCAAGAAATGGGGCTACAAAGTGGAGTCCACGACATGCGAGTGTGGAGAAGAGCAAACCACAGACCACCTGCTGCAATGCACCCTGAGCCCAGCCACATGCACAAGGGAGGACCTTCTTGCGGCAACACCAGAAGCACTCCAAGGGGCCAGATACTGGTCAAAGGACATCTAATCAACTACCAAGCTTGCAAACTCTGTTTTGTCTAGATTAAGGGAAGTGTTATTTCCCACTCAATTCCGGAAGTCTCTCGCTGTGCTTTACCTGCATCTCCGGCGGAACCGGTTCCTCCTTGGTCAGGGTGGGCGGCTCATCGGCAACCTCCGTGGAAGGAACGCTGGGCTCTGGAAAGGGAAGCGGAGAGGAGGGTTTGCGACAGTGCCACTCATTTTGGACTGTTTGGTGTTCTGGCCAGCCATTTGTGCTGCTGCCCACACAGGACAGACTTCACTGCACCAAGGCTGGAATGTGCTGTTGCTTGGGAATCCGGTGGAGTCTTCTCCTCTGGAGTTTTAAAATCAGAGGCTGGATGGACATCTGGTGGGGGGGGGGGGGGGGGGGTTGTGTCTTCCTGTATGGCAGAAGGCAGTGATTGGATGACCTCTGAGAGTCTCTTCTAAATCTATGTTAATATCATATATATATATATATGTGTGTGTATGTATGTATGTATGTATATATATATATATATATATATATATTACCCATAGCCATCTATGTTTTGACTGGATGGCCATCTGTCGAGAGGTCTTGGATTGTATCTTCCTGTATGGTAGAAGGCAGTGACTGGATGACCTCTGGAAGTCTCTTCCAAGTCTATGTTTATATCATATATATGTGTGTGTGTGTGCTGCCTATAGCCATCTATGTTTTGGCTGGATGGCCATCTATCAGGAGGTATCAGATAGTGTCTTCCTGGCAGAAGGGGGTTAGATTGAATGATCTTTGGAGGTCTCTTCTAAGTCTATGTCGATGTCTCTTATATCTATCTATCTGTCTGTCTATCTATAATGCCTATGGTCATCCATTTCTTGGCTGCATGGCCATCTGTTGGAAGGGATCAGATGGTGTCTTCCTGGCAGAAGGGGGTTGGACTGGATGACCTTAGGGGGCCTCTTCCAACTCCAGGATTTCATGATCCCATGTCTGCTATATGAAGGGACCACAAAGAGGGAAGGACCTCACCAGAATGGCCATCTCTCCGTTGCCAAAGGAAACGCCCCACAGAGCCCTTCAAGCCCAGGGCCAAAGGGTTTCCCTCTTCTTACCTTCGAGGGGCTCCTGGCCCAGCGTGGGTGGCTGTGAGTCGTCCGTCCGGAAATCAGAGGCGTGGCTGGGGCTCATGGACTCGCTCTGCTGGGGGCTGGAGGCCGGGCTGCTGTCCGGCTTGAGCTGGAAGGTGTCCGAGAGGGAGCTCTGGTTGCTATTCTCATCTGAAAGGACACAGAGAGGGAGAGAGAAAGAGATGTAGTTTTGACAGAAACTGGATGGCCATCTCTCGGGGGGGGGGGGGGGGTGATTATGCTTTTCCTGCGTGGCAAAAACAGGTTGGACTAGATGGCCCTTGGGGTCTTGGAATTCCAACTCTGGGATCCTATTATTATTATTATTATTAGCAGAGCTTGGATGGCCATCTTTCTGGAGGGGTTGGATGGTGTCTTCCTACATGACAAATAGGGGATAGACTAGATGGCCTTTGGGTTCTCTTCCAACTCTAGGATCCTACTATTATTATTATTATTATTATTATTATTATTATTATTAGCAGAGTTTGGATGGCCATCTGTCAGGAGGGACTGGATTGTGTCTTCTTACATGGCAGAAAGAAAGGGGTTAGACTAGATGGCCCTTGGGGTCTCTTCCAACTATACGATCCTATTATTATTATCAGAGCTTGGATGGCCATCCGTCTGGAGGGGTTGGATGGTGTCTTCCTGCATGGCAGAAAGAAAAGCGTTGGACTAGATGGCCTTTGGGGTCTCTTCCAACTCTAGGATCCTATTATTATTATTATTATTATTATTAGCAGAGCTTGGATGGCCATCTGTCTGGAGGGGTTGCATGGTGTCCTACATGGCAAAGAAGGGGGTTAGACTAGATGGCCCTTGGGGTCTCTTCCAACTTCTATTATTATTATTGGCAGAGCTTGGATGGCTATCTGTCTGGAGGGGTTGGATGGTGCCTTCCTACATGACAGATAGGGGCTCAATCTGTGCCGGAGTGAAAGGCCCAAGCACAAGCCCCCAAATAATTTCAGCACCAAGGAGAGTTCCTTTAGTGGGCTTTGCTTCTAGGATTCCCATGGTTCCTTCTCTGGATCCCTACTCACCTTGGAACTCCAAGAGGAGGGAAGAGTTGGCCGTCGCTTCGGCCGGAAACCCGTTGGCCTCCCGGACGGGGCCTCCGCCGGACTTGGACTTCTCTTTCTTAAAAGCAAGAAGAGAAGGAAGGCCATGAGTTGGGCTACCAGCAGAGGCTGGATGGGCACCTGCTGGGAGGGCTTTGATTGTGTATTTCTGGCAGAAGGGGGTTGGGATGGAAGGCCTTTGGGGAGTCCCTTCCAGCTCAATATGACTTATTCTCTTGGCGTATTTATTTATTTACTACATTTAAATGCTGACCTTTCTCACCCCAAAGGGTAAGAGTTGCCGATTGGCTGAGAAGTGTATACAAATATACTAAATAAATAAATAAATAATATTATTTGCATAGCACAATATTAGTATTATATAGTACTAGATAATATTGATATAATAAATAAGGTCTATATAATATGTAATAAAAATAATATAGCATATCCCAAGACATTTCTTGCTAGGCTGGATGAGCATCTGTTGGGAGGGCTCTGATGATGCCTTCTTGCCTGGCAGGAGGGGGTTAGAATGAATGGATGGATGTGTCTCCTGCCAAAGGCATCTATGTCATCTATTGGGACATAGTCTTACCTCTTTGCTGTCCGTCACGGGGACCCACTTGAATATCCGCAAGGAGGTGTCTCCCACTGTTACCCACTTCTTCTCCCTAGAAAAGAATAATTCTATATATCTATTATACACACACACACAGCATTTATATGCCGCCCTTCCCACCCCAAAGGGAACTCAGAGTGGTTTACAATATATATATATATATATATATATATATATATTATTTATTTGATACACTTGTATACCGCTAATATCTCAGCCTGGAACAGCGACTCATTGCGGTTTACAGCAGTTAAAACAATCTACAATTTAAAAACATATACACATACAATAACAAATTATTGGGCCACCAATAATAATCCCATATATCTCGAGTTGAAATCACAATCCAGAATTCGTTGTCCATATTTCCTGTCCTTAGTCATCAGTATTCGAATTGCCACAGATTAGCCGAATGCTTGTTTGAACAGCCATGTTTTGAGTCTCTTCCTAAACACCATCAGCGAAGAGGCTGATCGTACCTCTATAGGGAGGGTGTTCCAAAGCCGGGGGGCCACCACAGAGAAGGCCCTGTCTCTCGTTCCCGCCAGCCGCACTTCTGAAGCTGGAGGGATAGAGAGAAGGGACTCTCCGGAAGATCTTAGGGTCCTGGTGGGCTGATAGGCTGAGATACGTTCGGATAGATAAGTTGGGCCAGAACCGTTTAGGGCTTTAAAGGCCAATGCCAGCACTTTGAATTGAGCCCGGTAGCATATCGGCAGCCAGTGGAGCTGGTTCAGCAAGGGAGTTGTATGCTCCCTGCACCCCGCTCCTGTTAGAATCATGGCTGCCGCCCGTTGGACTAACTGGAGCTTCCGGACTGTCTTCAAAGGCAACCCCACGTATATATATATATACACATATATATATATGTATACACACACACACACACACATACATATACATACAATATACTATATTGTTAGCATAGTACAATATCAGTATTAAATATTACTATGTTGTACTATACCATTATATTGTAATATTATTAGTAATATTACATGTAATATAAATATATAATTATAATATTGCATTATTATTAGTATTATATTGCATTACATTATACTATTATAAATATTTTATGTTTATACAATATATTATATTACGTTATATTATTAGGAGAGCACAATATCAGTATTAAATATTACTATATTGTACTATAACATTATATTGTAATATTTTTAGTAAGATTATATGTAATATAAAATATATAATTATGGTACTGTATTATTATTAGCATTATACTGTATTACATTCTAATATTATAAATATTATATGTATATACAATATAGTACATTACATTATATTATATTAGGAGAGCACAATATCAGTATTATATTTTACTATATTGTACTGTGAACCACCGCCTCCTCCTGAGAAAAATGTATAATATCACAAAGGTCTACCACCTCACCCACTTTATAGGAAACCTGCTACAAAACAGGAGCTTTTTTGTTGAGTTCCAGGGTCAAAGAAGCAAATGGCGAAAACAGAAGAACGGCCTGCCTCAGGGGAGCGTGCTTGCTCCATCCATGTTCAACATCTACACAAATGACCAGCCACTGCCAGAAGGGACAGAGAGCTTCATCTATGCTGATGATCGTGCCATCACCGCTCAAGCAGGGAGCTTTGAGATGGTTGAACAGAAGCTCTCCGAAGCTCTAGCTGCTCTTACTGCCTCTTACAGGGAAAACCAGCTGATCCTCAACCCATCTAAACCACAGACAGGTGCTTTTCATCTCAAGAACAGACAAGAATCCTGAGCTCTGAGGATCACCTGGGAAGGAATCCCACTGGAGCATTGCAGCACACCCAAATACCTGGGAGTCACGCTGGACCGTGCTCTGACCTACAAGAAGCACTGCCTGAACATCAAGCAAAAAGTGGGCGCTAGAAACAACATCATACGAAAGCTGACTGGCACAACCTGGGGATCACAACCGGACACAGTGAAGACATCTGCCCTTGCGCTGTGCTACTCTGCCCAGTGAAGAACACATCTCACTACACTAAAACAGTGGATGTGGCTCTTAATGAGACATGCCGCATTATCACGGGGTGTCTGCACCCCACACCATTGGAGAAATTTCACTGTGTGGCCAGTATCACTCCACCTGACATCCTCCGGGAAGTAGCAGCCAAGAGTGAAAGGACCAAGGCAGAGACATCTCCAGCTCATCCCCTGTTTGGGTATCAGCCAGCACGCCAACGACTTAAATCAAGACATAGTTTTCTTAGATCTACAGAGACACTCGCTGGAACATCCCAGCAAGCGAGAGCCCAAAAGTGGCAGGCCCAAACCCAGCACCTCAATCCATGGGTGATACCAGATGAGAGACTCCCCCCTGGGCACACAGAGGACCGGGCCAGGTGTTCCAGTGAGTGTCTCTGTAGATCTAAGAAAACTATGTCTTGATCTCTCTCTATAGACCAGTCAAGGCAATGGCCGGCCTTCCCTTTGTATGCATGACAATATGCAAATCAACTATGCAAATAAGCTGAGAATATGCAAATCTGCCAGTTTAGGCCTGGAACCAAAGGCCCACCCTTGCCCCATGGCAACCCGAGCTCCTCAAATCCTATTGGGCTATATAAACGTCAATCCAGGGCCCCTTCCTGTCACGACGCTGATTGGCCGCCGTGGTCACCAATCGCATGGCTCGCTCGGTTACTTTCTGAAAAGGGCTTCCACGCATCACGCTGATTGGCTGCCGAGCTGTCATTCAATCGGCCTCTGCCGGCGATTGGCTGGAAGGCCGGCGCGCTCCTTCCTCGAGCCCCCTCCCTCCCTCCTCTCCCCTTCCCCGTCCCCTCCTCACCACTTGCGGACGCGCTCGATGGCGGCCATGACTTTCTTGATGTCATCTTTGGCGCGGCTCCGGGTCTCAGCCCGCACCGACCGGCCCGACATGGCGCCCGCTTGGACCCGGCGACGACTCTCGCCGCCGCCGTTCTCGGAGGACGGAGTGCGCATGCGCGCGCAGGACGCCCCGCCCACACCGCCCTGCGTTACGCGTCATCGCCTTCGCCCCGCCCACTGGAAGGCGGAGGAGGGAAGAGCAAGGCCGGCGGAGAGTGCGCATGCGCCAAAGTCTGCAAGCTGGAAAGAAGGGATGTGTATCTTTTCAATGACATGCTTGGGACTATTTGCAATAATTTGCATATTTTCATGATTTTTTTTCTAAAAAGATTTACATGCATTAGGTTTTTGAGTATATTATACTGATTTATATAGATTTCTATATTAATATATAATATTATATTAGGTTATAATATAAAATATTATATTAATATATTGGCGTTATAGAACTCCAGTATGCTGATGACAATGTCGTCTGTGCGCATTCAGAAGAAGACCTTCAAGCCACTCTAAACAACTTTGGCGAAGCATACACGAAGCTTGGCCTGTCACTGAACATCGAGAAAACCAGTTCTCTTCCAGCAGTCACCAGCCATCCCCTCCCCAATGCCAGAGATACAGCTTAATGTTGTAGCATTAGAAAATGTTGACCATTTCCACTCCCTTGGCAGCCACCTCTCCACCAAAGTCAACATCGACACCGAAATACAACACCGCCTGAGCTCTGCGAGTGCAGCATTCTTCCGAATGAAGTAGAGAGTGTTTGAGGACAGGGACATCCCTAGGGAGACCAAGGTGCTTGTCTATAAAGCTATTCCCCTCCCAACCCTGCTCTATGCCTGCGAGACGTGGATTGTCTACAGACGTCACATGCAACTCCTGGAACGATTCCTTCAGCGCTGCCTCTGGAAAATCCTGCAAACCTCTTGGGAAGACAAGCGGACAAACGTCAGCGGGCTGGAAGAAGCAAAGACCACCAGCATTGAAGCGATGGTCCTCCGCCATCAACTCTGCTGGACCGGCCACATTGTCCGGATGCCCAACTACCGTCTCCCAAAGCAGTTGCTCTACTCTGAACTTAAGAACGGAAAATGGAATGTTGGTGGACAGGAAAAGAGATTGAAAGATGGGCTCAAAGCCAACCTTAACAACTCTGGCATCGACACTGAGAACTGGGAAGCCCTGGCCCTTGACCGCTTCAGCTGGAGGGCAGCTATGACCAGCAGTGCTGCAGAATTCGAGGAGGCACGAGTAGAGGGTGAAAGAGAGAAATGTGCCAAGAGGAAGGCGCGTCAAGCCAACCCCGACCGAGACCGCCTTCCACTTGGAAACCAATGCCTTCACTGTGGGAGAAGATGCGGGTCAAGAAGAGGGCTCCACAGCCACCTACAAACCCACAAAAATAGTCATCAAGGAAGACCATCTTACTCGTCCAACGAGGGATCGCCTAAGCAATATATTGTATACACGTATAATATTGATAATTATATTATAATGCAATATGTAATACTAATAATAATAATACAATATAAGGATTATATATTTTATATTACATGTAATATTAGAGTATAGAGGAATAATACAATATTGTAATATATAATATTAATATTGTACTGTGCTATTAATATATTGTATACACATATAATATTGATAATTATATTATAATGTAATACAATACAATACTAATAATATTGTATAATCCTTTATACAATATATTATATTACATTATATTATAAGGCTAGCACAATATCAGTATTATATATTGTACTACTAATAATAATAATACAAAGAAGGATTATATATTTTATGTTACATGTAATATTACTAATAATAAAACAATATAAGAATTATATATTTTATATAATATGTAATATTACTAATAATATTACAATATAGTGGAATAGTACAATATAATAATATATAATACTAATATTGTGCTGTACTAATAATATAATGTATACACTTGTATTAATAATTATATTATAATGTAATACAATATAATACTAATAATAATACAAGATTTATATATTTTATATTACATGTAGCATTACTAATAATATTACAGTATAGTGGTATAGTACCATATGGGAATGTATAATGCTGATATTGTGCTAATAATATAATATATTGCACCACCTGATCTAAACTAATCTATGCTGACGATCATGCCATCACCGCCCAAGTAGGGCGCTTTGAAATGGTTGAACAGAAGCTCTCCAAAGTATTAGGTGCTCTTATGGCCTATTAAGAAGGGAAATGATCTGATTCCCAATCCATCTAAAACGCAGATGTGTGCTTTTCACTTTCGGAACAGACAAGCATCTCGAGTTCTGAGGAAACAATCTATGCTGTTCTGAGGAAACAACTGGAACGGAATACGGATTACGATACTGGTTATGATTCTATGATGTGACGGAGTGGATTATTTAGTGTAACTAGATTATAGTGTATTATTGTTGTATTGATTCCCTGTTTTGCCCTTTTTGTAAACTGTTTTTATATGTTGTGCACCGCCGCGAGTCGCCCTAGGGCTGAGAGCGGCGGTCAATAAATGCAGTAAATAAATAAATAAATAAATAAATATGCTGACGATCGTGCCATCACTGCCCAAGTAGGAAGCTTTGAAATGGTTGAACGGAAGCTCTCCAAAGCTTTAGGTGCTCTTACTGCCTATTACTGGGAAAGTCAGCTGATTCCCAATCCATCTAAAATCCAGACATGTGCTTTTCACTTTCAGAACAGACAAGCATCTTGACTTCTGAGGAAATGATCTATGCTGATGATCGTGCCATCACTGCTCAAGCAGAGAACTTTGAAATGGTTGAACGGAAGCTCTCCAAACCTTTAGGTGCGCTTACTGCCTATTACTGGGAAAACCAGCTGATTCCCAATCCATCTAAAATGCAGACGTGTGCTTTTCACCATCAGAACAGATAAGCATCTCAGGATTATTACCTGGGAAGGAATCCCACTGGAGCATCGCACCACACCCAAATACCTGGGAGATACGCTGGACTGTGCTCTGACTTACAAGAAACACTGCTTGACTATCAAGCAAAAGGTGGGTGCTAGAAATAACATCATACGGAAGCAGACTGGCACAACCTGGGGATCACAACCAGACACAGTGAAGACACCTGCACTTGCGCTTTGCTACTCTGCTGCTGGATATGCATGCCAAGTGTGGAATACATCTCCCCACATTACAACAGTGGATGTGGCTCTTAATGAGACACGTTGCATTATCACAGATGTCGATGCCACTGGAGACTTAGGGTGACCCTCGAGCTAAAGTTTAGATTGGAAGCCGCATCAATGACCTTGTTTTGGAGACCCCTATCCTATATTATTTCCCCTTGATCCGGACAACAGACTCCTATGGAGGCAGTTTAGGACTGCATTGGCTTTTTTGTTGACTCATAATCCAAAGAAACCCAACATGGTGGAAAATTGTGCAAAAAAATACTATTTTTGTATTTATTAGCTCTCCCAATGCGCGACTGAAAAGCCCATCCCTGGTTGGCTCAGTTGCGCTTGCCATAGATGCTGTCCAGGGCTCTCTGGGCGCTGGCCACCTGCTGCCGCAGTCTCTCCTTGGTGGACTCGTTGGTGGCCTTCTTCATCAGGGTGGCCATCTCCTGGATCACCGCCTTGTAGCCCACAGTGTTGTGGAAGACCCGGATGGCCCGGTCCCCGGCCGAGGCCAGGAAGCGGCCGCTCACGTCGAAGGCCAAGTCCGTGATGTGCTCCCCGTGGACGCCCTCGAAGCGCTCCTCCTCCTCGCCCTGCCGGGTGTTGTAGAGCGCGATGTTGGTGCGGCTGGAGATGGCCACGGCCCGGGCGTCCGGCGAGAGGGCGATGCGGCAGGGAGCCTCTGCTGTGCATTTCCCCGTCAGGAGGAGGTAAGGGTCCTGCTGCTTCTTGTACTCCACGTCCGTGTCCCACAGCTTCCACGTCCCGTCCTTTGAGACCGTGGCCATCCTGTTCCGAGAGGGGGAAAGCGAGGAAACGTGAGCCAACAGTGTGGCCGAGTACACTTCTATCTAGATCTATCTATCTGTATACATAGTGTGATTGTGGAACAGAACAGACAACTCTGCATTTGTGTGCTTGTCCATTGTGCCCTGCCTCATGTACAGGGGAGGAATTGTTGGAGGCTACAGACAATGCTGTTGCTGTTGCCCGTTTCTGGTCAAAATATATTTAGCCACCTGCACACCTTCTATTTTTCAGTTTTATACTAATTTCTGCAATGGGTTGTTGTAGGTTTTTTTGGGCTATATGGCCATGTTCTAGAGCAGGGGTCCTCAAACTATGGCCCGCGGGCCACTTCCGGCCCACTTATCCGGCTTGCAGAGGAGGAGCACCCCCCCCACACACACACACAGTGCCCCTCCCTTGGCTGGCTCACACTATCCATCAGGCCCGATGGGCAGCGTGAGCCAGCCAAGGGAGGCTGCCCCGGCGCTCCATGCAGTCATGCCGGCCACATGACCTTGGAGGTGTCTACGGACAACGCCGGCTCTTCGACTTAGAAATGCAGATGAGCACCATACCCCAGAGTCAGACACGACTGGACTTCATGTCAGAGGAAAACCTTTAACTAGGAAAATTGTGGAAGATCCAGGGTGGGAGAAAGAACTCTTGTCTGTTGGAGGTAGGTATGAATGTTTCAATTGGCCACCTTGATTACCATTTCATAGCCTGACAGTTTTTAGGGAGAATCCTTTGTTGAGAGGTGATTAGCTGGCCCTGATTGTTTCTTGTCTGGAGTTCCTCTGTGTTTGAGTGTTGTTCTTTATTTACAGTTATAATTTTAGAGTTTTTTTAATACTGGTAGCCAGATTTTGTTCAGACTAGAAATAGGAAGATTGCCCATTCTCTGCTCCTGGAATTACTGCCTCAAGAGGGCTAGAAAGAACCCCCTCCCTCTAAGGGCCCTTCCACACCGCAAAATAAGAGATGGGCAATGTGCAGAGGAATTTTTTAATTGATTTTTTTTAAAAAAAACAAAAACTATAGTCCGGCCCTCCAACAGTCTGAGGGACAGTGAACTGGCCCCCGGTTTAAAAATCTTGAGGACCCCTGTTCTAGAGGCATTCTCTCCTGACGTTTCGCCTGCATCT